TTTAGATCTTGGAAGGGTCCGTAGTATTTTGCTAAACACTTCAAGTTATTCCTTGGGGCCAGGCCACAGTGGTTTAGCAAAAGGGCTATAACTTGAGGTATACATAATTACTAACCTCAAACTCCTTTTAGGCCTCCATGCATCCGCTAGTTGCTTCATACAATTTTGGGCCTTTGGCTAAGTTTTCTTTGAGAATTTGCAACATCTGCTATCTTTGTTAAACTAATTAAGCTGTAATAGCTATTGGAGTTCATAAATATGGCCACAATTGTGGTGGAGGGCATGGTTCAAAGTATTAGGCATATCGTATCATATCTTTTGAAAATGATACGGTCTGAAACGCCTATTTCCAAGGTTTCGGGCCCCTAATTTTTTTTAATAATGAAAAACAGGTTATAAGCTTTCCAAAAAATCAAACTTTGAAACTCGTATGGTACCGATACTTTGAACCTTGGTGGAGGGTACCCAAACAAGACTTGAAAGGGAGTCATGCCCAAGGTGGAATGATAATTAGTGTACCATCATTGAGCAAAGGCGAGTAACCATTTTAGCCATTACTTTTTGCTTTTTTCTTACACATACACCTTAGATAGGTCTCTAAATATCTATTAAGCCTCTCTGTTTTCCCATCTGCCTGTGAGTGATGGCAGAACTCAACTTGAGCTAGGTTGCCTTTTGTTTGAACAGTTATTGCTAGAAATTGCTAAGGAAGATCTTGTCCCGATCTAAAGCTTTGCATTAGGACTGCACCAGTGCCATTATAGCATGCATCAGTCTCCAACTCAAATGGGTTATTAAAATCAGGTAGTCTAGTATAAGAGTGACTGTCATAGCCAATTTCAACTGCTCAAAAGCCTTATCGGCTTCATTAGTCCATGTAAGAGGCTCCTTTAACAAGTCAATCAAGGGCTTGCTAATCTTCCCATAATCTCTAACAAACTTTCTCTAGTAAACTATTAGTCCCAAAAATTCTCGTTAAGGATTTCACTGATATAGGCTTGGGCCAATTGACCATTGCTTCAATTTTAGTAGGGTCAGCCTTTACGCTTTCTGTTGTGATGATATGCCCAAGATATTCAACCTGATTTTGCCCAAAAGAGCACTTGCTCTTCTTTACAAATAATTGATGTTGTTTTAACACATCCAATACCTATCTCGAGTGTTCAACATGGCTCACCAAATCAAGACTATAAACCAGTATGTCATCGAAGAATACTAGAACAAACCTTCTTAGGAATGGTTCTAGAATGATATTCATAAGAGATTGAAAGGTGTCTGAAGCATTAGTTATGCCAAACGGCATGAGTCGAAACTCATAGTGTTCAAAATGTGTTTTGGAAGTAGTCTTGTGGAGGTCCTCCTCCTTGACTTGAATTTGATGGTAACCTGATCTTAAGTCAAGTTTTGAAAAGAATTTTTCACCATGAAGCTCATTAAGCAATTCATCTAGGAAGGGTATAGGAAATTTGTCCTTAATAGTCATGGTATTCAACTATCTATAGTGAACACCTAACCTCCAACTACCATCTAGGAAGGGTATGGATGCAAAGGGGTTGTTGATGCTCCTTATTATTCCAAACTCAATTATTTCTTTAACTAATTTCTCAATTTCTGACTTCTAGATGTAAGGACATCTATAGTGTCTTTGGTTTGATGATGTGGAATTGGGCTTAAAAGGTTATTTGTTGGTTATGAAATCTTTTGGGAGGTAAGCCTTTAGGTTCAACAAGCAACATGGCATATTTCGAAAGAAGGGATTCAATCTTAGGATAAATATTTACTTGTTCACTAATTGATGTGAGTGAAAACAGATGTCCCATAATGCCATAGGACTGCTTATATTAAACTTTCTGTCGAGAAGTACCCATGATGAGCTTAAGTTCAACTGCTTCAGTTCATTACATCAACTGTAAACTCTTGTGCTTGCATTTTCCACTTGAACTGAAGACACCTAGCCTTGTTTACTAGTTTACTTCCATCAGCAATTATAACTAACAAAGGCCTGGTTTCTTTTATGTTGCACTTAGTTTGCTTGGTAACAGTCACATCAATGAAACTGTGTACTCCCACTACCAATGAAAATAGTAAGTGGTTTTCTTTTCACCCATCCTTCAATTTTGATGGTATTAAGGGTTTATATTCCCAACTAAGGCATGCACTGATAGTTCCATTCCACCTAGATCTTCCTCAACTATTTCATCTTCATGTTCAGCCAACAATTGTTCTTCTTGAGGAAATGTTTCATTTGTGTCATTTTCATTTCCCCACATTAGAAATAATTGGTTCCCTTACAGTTGTGGTTAAGCTTGAAGGGTTCATCACAGAAATTGCATAGCCCTTTGCTCTTTCGGCATTCGTTTCCACACTCGGTTATGTAGTTGTTAGTTTCCTGCCATAGGTTGGTTTAATGGCCTTAATTTGTTAGGTTGTTTTTGATATTTGGGTTAAGGTTGGGGTTATTCTTTGGAAGGTTGGTAGTTACATTTGGGTTGGAATGGATATTGAGATATGAAACGTTGACTGATGAATTGGGTTGAAAAAGAGGAAGTTTCTTGGATCTTTTTTTGTAAAGCTTCAATTGTAGCTTCTTGCATTTTGGCTAGGCTGATTGCTTGGCTGAGGGTTGTGGGATTAAACATCACAACCATATTTCTAATTTCCTCTTTTAATCCACTCAAGAAGCTATCCACAAAATAACTCCCGGTCAGACCTTTATTTTTCATCAACATGAATGATTTGAGTTCTTCAAATCTCTGTTGATAATCAAAGACTTGTTGCAACTTATTGAATTCCCAAACAACATTTTCTAACCCCAAATCTCCAAACCTACATAGTAGGGCATCAACAAACTCAGATCAAGAGAGATTAGGATAACCTCCATCTTGGACTTCAACAATGTGTGGGTTAGGTAGAAGGCCTACTTGAATGGTTGGAGATTGGTTTGATCAACAGTACTTAGTAATTAACAACCCTTCTAACTTTTCTTCTAATGAGCCAATCCTAGCTTCTTGTCGTTCTTGGGCCCTCTTGAGAATTTCTTCAAGAGTTTTGGACCTAGTAGACTCCGCTATAATAGCAGGGGTTGAATTTCAGGAAGGAATTGTTCGTCACAACTAGAATCTGTAATTAAAACTTGAGCTCCAATATCTAGAACTTACAGAAGAAAGGGAAGATAGAAGCGAACCTACTCCCTAGAACGGAATAGCTTTGATACCGGTTGTTATGCTTTGAATAGAGAGGGAAATAGTAAATAGAAATCAATATCCTTTTCATTAATTTGCTTTCTCTAGTTGTATTTATACAAGGTTATTTCTTGCTCACACATCCAACCGACAATTACAACTCAACAAGTAACTAATTAATAGACTATTTAGTTATTTTAATTCGTCACAAGAATGTTGTTATTTGAGTAGTGACTGTAGTAGAGAACAACCCTTGTTGAATTGAAAAGCTTGATTACATGAAAATACTAAAACAAAATCAACAGAAACTCAGGAAACCATAAACTGAAGAATGAATCTAACAAGAAAACAATACATGAAATGTGAACAAGAAGAAATCCATCAAGATATATCAACAACAAAGACGAAGAGGACTAGACAAGAAAGAAGTTAGGCATCGATCCAAGACTCATCTCTGCCTTTTGTCTCTGATGGTTTTCTTTGAACCAATAGCTCTTTTCATCGTCACCAAGAAAAACCCAGCATTAATTTCACCAATGAGAATGAGGGCCCCGATGAATCTTGAATACAAAGGTAGCATAGACAACCGACAGAATAATTGGAAATTCAGTCCATGAGCATGTATGACTCGTTAGAAGGACGATGACCCAAGTTTTCTGCAACCAGAAAATGATGTAGAGGAGATACTTCCGGTGATTCCTTGGTTTCAAACTCTCTGGTGGCGATCTTGAAAAGTGGACTTCAAATTAGTCAAATACATAATAAAGTGATAGTGCTTCTCCAATTTTTCCCTCTTCAAATACTATGTTCTTGGACGAGGGCTAAGTTTTAGTTGGACTTACAAAGAATTGGAACGGGTATTATTTCAAGATGTCTCTCTCCTTGTTCTAAATCATTTTTTTTTTTTTTTTTTTTTATGTTTTTTAATGGCATCCATCACTGGGGCGGATTAGCTGGATACAACATCATACACACCGAGTTGGCTACTATCACAAGTGAATATGCTAGTGTGTAGACTCCATCTGTACTGAACATTGATGTATTTATACATAGAATTGGTCTAACTATGCCCCCAAGAAATTGATACAATTTTGTCTTCAGCCAGTTCAACTGGATTCATCTATCACTGTCAATGCCCCCAAGAAATTGAAGTACAGGGCAATAATCTTCAAAGGAATTGCCCTTCTCATTCAACCATTGTCTCTCAGTTATGATGGCCTAAGGGTCGGGAGCTTTGCAGCCCGGATTACCTTTTAGGCCCTTACAAGCAGTTTGGTTTCTATCAAGGCAAGTCGGTGCTCCCATCCTTCGAGCAGCCCCTTGCAATCTTGCACGGGGAATATCTCCTATAAAATAAATCACATAACTACGGAGATATTCCCAATGCAATGCTGTAAAGGCTGTTAGAACGCCCTAACTGAACCCAGATTCCTTACAAGTGTAAGCCATTTTTAGTAGAATTCAAATCACTTGGGCATAAAACACATTCCAACCACCTACCAACATGATCCGACACCACACATCTCACGTGAAGGACGTGTGTTTGTTGGTAGGTGACGGGGACTCCTTTTAACCCAGCCCGTGAGGGTCATGGGACAGACTTGTGTCCAATGCCCCGCGGCTCCATGGCCAATGCAATGATATGCCGAATCTAACTCTAATTCCGAATCCCTATATCCCTTCTAGCTGTGCCAACCTCGGCCAAGCCCACCCTGGCCCAGCAAATTGCTAGATTTTGTTCTTCAACGGCTCCAACGCATGCCAAGCATATCACAGTGTCACACAGAGATAAAATAAGGATATACGAAAATACGGAATCTTCTCCTCGGTAGAAGAAAAACCAGGAAAGAAATATGAGTGGGAGCAGAGCATTCTGCAAATCATCTGTCTTGCTCCCCCTCCATCGCTTCCACTCGGCTTGTTAGTTTCAATTTTCTCCTGAAACCCAACTCCACTAGCAAGTCTGTCCGAATGTCGACTGAAGCCTCTTCGCTTAACCGCAATAGTAACAATAACAAAGATGCTTCTGTAGCTGCTTCTTCTGGAAATGGAGGTGGAGCTTCCACTTCGATAGAATGTTCCACCTCTTCCGCTTCTTCTGCTATCGATTTCCTCACTCTCTGTCATCGTCTCAAGGTATTTTTTTTTCTTTCTCTCTTGGGTTCAATTCAATTGATTTAATTCCTGTCCGAAATTGAGGACGACAAAGATGAATTGGTGTAGACGAGACAAATAGGGCTCTTAACTAATTGAGTTTTGGATTTGACCAGACGACAAAGAGAACTGGATGGGTTCGAAAGGGAATTCAGGGTCCCGAATCTATTGCCGATCACATGTACCGAATGGGCCTCATGGCTCTCATTGCTTCTGATATTCCTGGCATCGACCGGGATAGGTTTGGGATTTTTTCTATTCTATTTTTTTTTTCTTGCTTTCTTCTATGTCTATTTTTTCTCTTTTTGATTTAAATGTGGAATGGTTGGTTGTTGTTTCTTGCAGGTGTATAAAAATGGCAATCGTACATGATATAGCCGAAGGTGAGAATCTAAATTCTCACTTTATCACTCCTATTTTTCTTTTGTTGTACTAAAAGAAGATTGACTTCAACCAAGGTAGAATGTAACTAGGCTTGGGGTGGGCCTCCCATTTCTTGAACTAAAATTGGTTCTAAATGTTTCTGATGGTCGGAAATCACACTATTCTGGGTACTGTGAGCTCAAGATATGGGCAATGGGAATAGATTCTCTGAGTATTTTTGAACACCAGATTTTCTATCCTTTTCACATATATAACTCTAGGAATAAAGTTGGTGCCAAGCTGAAGTTTCTAGTTATTGACACAGTTAGATGGCTAATTCATACTCGACTTGATGCCTTTGGATTCCTCATTTGACCTGTGAATTGGAGGCTACAAATGCCTTAAAGTTCTTTGGTCTTATTAGAGGACTTTCTGGTATTCCATGGGTACCCCTCTTAGTCATCCAGGACCACTCAAACAGCTCTTTCAGTATTTATCTTAAAAGCACCCTTTTTGGTAGTCATGGTTCCGTGGAGGGCTCAGTTTTCTGAAACAGCTCTCCTCCAATAACTAACTCCACTAGTTCTCTCTCCTCTAAATTACTCCATTAAATTGTTTAAAATTTATTTACTCTTTTTTCCCTTTTATTTTTTTTTAATTTTCTTTTTTCTTTTCTTATTTTATTCTCTCTCTCCTCATTAATCTAATAAACCAAAAGCAATTTTCTTAGGGGTGATCTTTTTGGTCATGCCTGAGCCTAGATTCGCATCAGGCCCACAAATTTCAAGGCTAGCATGGGCCCAACCCAACCTATAAACAAATAACAGTTTAAAAATTAGTTAATAAAAATATCATAAATAGTCAGAGAGAGAGAGAGAGAGAGAGAGAATTTTACTCTCATCCAAATGTAATTTATTTGTTTCATATTCAAATTCTATTTAATTGGTTAATTGTCAGAAAATTATAATTTGATACCTAATAACTAAAATTAATAAAAAACTACTAAAGTTAATAAAAATATGAAATTTTAACAAGTTAATAAAAATTAGTAGTTCATAAATTAAAAATGAAAATACATTTAAATTCTATTTAAGAATAATTAATATTAATAGGATAGTTAAAATTAATAAAAATTAAAAAAATATTAAAAGTAATAAAATAAACCATTTGTGTTCCATTTAAAAAATAAAATACAATTAAAATAATAAAACTAACAACGGAAAAATTAGAAATGTCATAAGACTCTTGCATAGGGATGATCATTTTTAACTTAGCCCAAGTGCCCAACCTAGCTAGACCTACAAACTTTTGGGCTCAAGCAACTATTTTCTTCTGAGCTAGGTCTAGCTCAGATTTGCACCAAGCCCACACATAATGTGGGTAGGGCTATAATGGATCGGATTCAGATCGGACCCAGTTGCATCCACATTCAATTATGAAATCTCTAGATCCAAGCTGTGATACAAGGAGCAGAAATCGCAAAAGAGTTGGCAGCGGAGCATTTAATGATTGAAGGTGACTCCAAATTGGTTATTGGATGGCTAAAAGAACTGGAGATGGCAACCTGGCCTATAGAGGGGTTTTGAAAAGATTTAAGTGGCTAACATCAAATATTTTAGTCACAGTTCAATGGGAAAGAAGACCGGCAAATGGGCTGGCAGATTTCCTAGCCAAACAAGGAGTACATAGGAATCATCTCTTTTGGGCTCAATTGTAAGCTTTATGATGTAGCTTGGAGGCTGCACCTTGCACCTCTTTGTGGGGAGTTGTATGGTGTATATTATGTTTTTTATTTAATAAAATTATCATTATCTATAAAAAAAATGAAATCTCTAGATCCACATCTACATGTGATTATTATGTCAGATTTTGGATCAAATGTGGATTTAATTCGCAACCATCTTATTGTGTTTAAAATGACTAAAAAATTAAAAAAATTCAAAAATCTAATTATTTATATATATAAATATAAAATATTAAATTTATCAATTATAAACTTTATATAATTATACACAACATCTATATGAATACATAATTATACTACATATATACATAAAAAATAATTTTCATTAGACTCGGACTTTAGTCAGATCGGATGTGGTTCCGCATTGGTCCCATTATTAATCGGGTGCAAGTTCTAACATCCAAATCTAATGTATTCGGATTTGGAGTCAAATTGGGTATTGAACTTTCGGAGTCCATTAACAGCCCTAGTAGGTAGGCCCTAAGATAATCAACCCCTAAGCTTGATGTGGAAATTATATACATATATCTTTAGATATCAAATTTTATAGTAATATATATAGAAAATAATTAAATTTGTAAAAAAAATCATAGTTTTACAATTAACACAGGCATTCCTATCCATGTCCCAGGCCCAGACAAATATTATTATGCTTGGAGTGTGTTTCGGGCTGACTGTTAATACACTATCAAAATCTGGCCCGAGATCTTTAATTTTTTTGGTTCATTAGGCTACAAAATAGGGGTAGCTCATCCCCCATAGCTCCTTTGGATTCAATATTAATAAGTTTTATCTAAAAATAGTTAAAAACCCAAAAATAATGCATGCATGGGTTGTACTTGGTTTGGTTTAGTCTAATTACAAATGCCACATTGCTCTTAAGGACTTGGAGGGTTGGGTCAGGTTGAGGATCAACCAAAGCCCATTCTGAAGTCTTAAACCTTGACCTCGGACTTAGATTAATTTAATTATGACTACAGCCTAATTTTATATATTTACTAATATTTACAACAATTGCAATATGCCAGTATTTAATCATTAAAAAAGTAAAATAAATAAAATAGAACACTAACAAATAATATGGAAAAAATAATTATTTTATTAAGTACTTTGTTAATCTAAATAAATAAGTTACTAAATTATTTTTGTAACAAATTATTAAAATAAAGATTAGTTATTTTAAGCAACATTGCATTCCTTCCTTACAATAGTTAACAATTTCTGTTGTTTCACTTTCCCTTGAAAAATCGTGTATTGCATGGGTCCCTGTTAGTATTCTAATATATCCATATGATATCTTTGTATTCTAAAGAGTTTTTAATTTGACCAATTATACTTCTTGTGGGAGTTTAATTATGTGTATTAATTTTTCGTAGTTTCTATGTGAAACCATGCATATCTACAATATCTCTTGTAAATTGATTTTGTGGTAACCACATTGTATTGAATTTCTGATATTTTAGTCCTTGGTAGGCATCTTCTTCTATGTAATATGGTGTTCATTTATATATTTTTGCACATTTATTATGTGTCCTGAAGCACTCCCTTAATTTAGGAATTGAGTTTTTTATGTTACTTTCTTAATTGCTTGAGTAGCCATTGTTGGAGATATCACTCCTTTAGACGGGGTATCGAAGTTGGAGAAAAGCCGAATGGAACAAGATGGACTTGATAACATGTGTAAACTACTTGGTGGAGGGTCCAGAGGTATTGTTATCCTTTTCTTTTTAGTCATTCTCAGTAGCATGGTCCTTGAAGGAATGCGTTGATCTTCCTAATGCTGAAAAATTATTACCAAACTTATATTTCATACAATGTTTTCAAATGTGGAGGTGTGGCATGAGGCATTCCACTTTCTTGAGGCATGAGGTGTAAATCAGAATGCAGGGGGCATAAGATTCCTGTGAATTGATTTTTAATTAATAAATATGAAGGAACCAACTAAGAATGACCCAACCAATGCCAAATGAGTTCAAGAGAACTATTTGGTTATGACATGGCTATGCAACTCCATGCAGCTTCACTTCACCCGAAACTACTTGTGGGCAAAAACAGATAAGGAAATTTGGAACATCATGAAAGAAACCTACTCCCAACCTCTTAATGTTGCTAGGGCTTATGAGCTGAAATGTGAAGTTAATAACCTAAAGCAAGGAGAGAAACCACTCTCGGTTTACTTCTCAACCTTGAAATCCTTGTGGCATGAAATTGATCACCTAGAAACGATTGACTGGAAGAGTTAGAAGGATGCATAGACTTACAGAAAGCAAGTTGGAACTAATAGGGTGTTTGAATTCCTAATTGGTCTGAATTCTGAATATGATATTGTGAGACAACAGCTTCTCACGAGAGAAAGTGTGACCTTATCACAAGCCTACTCCCTATTGCACAGTGAAGAGAGTAGGAGAAAGGTTATATTGCAACATCAACCTTTTGAATCAGCCTTAGCAGTAGTCAAACCAAAGTTTGAGGGTGATAAGGAGAGGGATATGAAGAAGGAAGATAAGAGGGACCCTAATATGTGAACATTGCAAGAAACCTAAACATACTAAAGACACTTGTTGGAAGTCAATCCACATTCTCTCTGAATTCTCTTCTTCGTGTTCTCCTTCTCTCTTTCTTTCTCAATCTTTTTCTTGTTTATTACTCATTATACCTAGGACTGATTGCAGTCCTATTCGACTACTAAATAAATAAAAACAGAACAAAATAAGTAGAAAAATAGTATATCCCTTCTTTCTCTCCTCTTCATTAACATACTCCAAAATAAAATCCCTTCAAGCCATTCTAACATCATATGCAAGTAGAAAGTTACATTTCACTCAAACGTATCAGCTAGCTTACTGGTAAAGTCCATGGCTGGTTGTAGTGGGGATTTGGGATCAACTCCTGCCTTCACCTAGGTTGGGGAATCTTGGGGTTTGGGGAGGGCTACTCCCATTGTGTAGACCATTCACCTACCAATAAAAAGTTGCATTTTTATTCACTTGATTTTCCTTTATGATATTATGTATGCATTATCAAGGATATTCTTGTAGGTATTAATCCTTGTGCCTCCATTTATTGTCTAACTTAGAAAATGATGTTTTGACGGAATAAATTATTTTCTTTTAAACTCTTTTACTCTGCTGAATGTGGAAAACTGTAGGATAGGGCAATGTAGTACAGTATTATTGCTTGTTATGAGTCTGGATATGCACAGAATTTATTAGACTATTTGCTTGTTTAAATATTGTAGAAATTTTTATTTCAAAATAAAAACTTGCAATTTTGCAGCAAAGGAAATAGGTGATTTATGGATGGAGTATGAGGAGAATTCTTCTCCAGAAGCTAAGGTTGTAAAAGACTTTGACAAGGTACTGCAATCTTGATCTTCCTTTAGTGATTTACCTTTGAAGCTGTTTATAATATTTACTGCAAAGCAATTGAGGTCATCATGGTTTTCCTTCTGTTATTGTTCTCCATTAAACTTGATGTGCATTTGTTGTGCAAGTACAATCATGATTCATCTTGTTGGCCCTAATTTATGTTCACCCATCATAGTCTCTTATTGTTATAGGTTGTTTTAAGTAGTGCATATCTGATTTAAGTTTAAGAATAGGATTATTGCCAAGGTACAGATACAATTATTGTACTATAGCTCATACTACACTTCAAGTGGCTTCCCTGGTTACCTTTAAATCCAATCAGTCAAGTAATTCATGTCTTTCTAGTTTTGGTCGAATTGGATTTATTGAAAATACCCACAAATTGAGCATATCTGAAGATTCTCAACCCATGAGCCGTTATAAGTGTTTTTAGATGTCTACAAGTTTAATGCTTCAAGGTGGACCTCAAGGTGAGATGCCCTCAAAATGCGCCAAGGCAGACTACTGATGTGGATGCATTGAAGACCTCTGAGGCTTATACTTCATGAGTTGAAGCTCAATGAAGCATATACTTCTAGACATAGTGTACACATCAGATATGCTTTGATACTAAAGTGTATGCAATGGGGAAAGAGAGAAAATAAAAATATTTTGAAAAGGACAAAATAAACCTATTTGTGGAAAAAAGGAGGAAGAGGGGAGGTGGGGGAGAGAGAAAATCAAAAAAGAGGAAAACCAGCATAATACCTGTTCTGGCATGGCGCCATCTTCCCTTCTATGGGACTGTCAAAAGTTACAATTTTACTTTTCATGAAAACTATACAAATTAGTATAATTTTAAACATGTGAGTTTTAAATATTATTCATTTCTTCATATTTAAATTAAGGGATAGATTCCAAGTATGTTAAAAAATATGTTATATATATGTATATAAGGAGGTATTTTTATAAAGTTATATAATAAAGACAAATTACCATTTTTTATATTAAACTATGCATACTTGTGAAGTTTACACTAGGGCTGTTCATAAGAAGACCCAAACTGACCAACCCAGTCCGACCCAACTCGAGTCGGCCAGATTTTCTTTAGCATCGGTTGGTTTCGGGTTACTAAAAAGCATAAACCGATGGGTCGGTTCGGTTGTGGTTTCCACACATGAAAACCAAAACCGAACCGACCCGAACCGACTTAGTTCCTAGTTGGTACTTAGTAGTTAGTACCTAACTTAGTTTCTACTTTCTAGTTACTTATAGTTACTTATAGTTTCTACTTTCTAGTTTTCTCTTTAGGAATGCCATTAATGCCATTAATAGCTTCTTGCATTTTTTTTGGAAGGTTTAAAGAAAGGATCCTATTCTCTAAGGTCCTTTACACCAAATAGGTAATTACAATTAGGTGTCTATTTTACTTAGATTAGAAGCCTTCTTAAAAATTCCAAATTTCAGTCTTCTTTTTCTAACACAAATTGACTCTCTCTTTTCTTGGTAACTTCTAACTTGGTCCACCCTTACTCCCTTAGCCCCTCAACTCAAGTACTCAAACCGACCCAAACCGTCTCAAACCAACCAGGTCGGTTTTGCCTAACACAGGGTCGGTTTCAGTTTCATTTTCAGGCAACCCGATCAGGTCAGGTCGGTTGGAAAAACAGCAGTAAACCGACCCAACCTGACTCGTGAACAGCCCTAGCTTACACTCTATGTATTGAGGCTTATGTGTCACATCTCATAATTTGAAAATACTGACTGCTATCACATTGTATTAGGTTATCATTTTACATGGTGTCCAGTTTGTGGTTCAAAGAAAGGGTGGTTGTGTTCCAGAACTATACCACCTTTTGAAATTGAACATATTAGTTTTGAATCATCATTGGCGTTCTGCACTTCTGCTATGTATAGTTTGGTTGTGTTCTAATCACATAGACAGAATCACAACCACTGTTCTGTTCATGATAAACTATTTTTTTTTGGACTCAACACATTGTCAGCTTTTCTGTGTGGTTCACATGTAGAGAAGCAATTCATCTATGACCATTCAACTTTGATCATACTACCATTTATTTATCATATGTTACATATGACGATGATGATGATTAAAAATAACACAATATGTAGAAATATATGATATGTTAAAAATTATATATGATTATATATTTTGTCATGTGTATAAAATGTATATTGCATTTTCTACAATATAGGAATATGGCTCAAGAATCCAAGACACACAGATCACTTAGCCACGTCAGCTTTCTTTTTGAGCCATGTGGTTGTGTTCAAAAATCTATCTTTCATAGTGCTAAAAAAATGGGGATTTTTCTTGTTTTGGAACCATGGTTTGTTGGTTCTATAACGAGCAACAAAATGATAATGTCCTTCAGAACACTGGTTGCATTTGTGAACCAGACGGAACATGGACATAACCATGAATCAAACACCAACTAGTTATTTGTGAAATTACATAAGATTTTGTATTTGGTATGTTTTCATATGATAAAATATTTCTGAAGATTTAATCTTAAGATGTTGGGTTTTCTCATTCCTACTATGGAGAAGTCTCAAGGAAGAATTCTTATAGGACTATAATTTATTTTGATTTTTCAGCCATTTGGATGGAAATAAATGGAAAAAATTCCACCGGAAGCAGTTATATCAAAAGTTGGTTTACATCCAGAAATATTCTAACTGACTTGTTGACAGAGGGTGGCTAGAAGTAGCTAGATTTTATTCACATAGAGTTCTGGACTCTCTAGTTATGGTTACCTCCTCCTGAGTCATCCATCAAGCTTAATTTTTATGTGCTCCTCAGGCAATCTGGGACCTTCTAAATAGGCGTTCTTTTGAAGATTGCAGTAGAGCAACTATTTCTTGCTTTTCTTTATTTGGGGCTGTTCATACTTGAAGCTATTGTTGAATGATGGTATGGATCCAAGTATTAGTAGCGTTAGACCCATATCCAGATCATTGTCATCGGTAGTCTGGTCTTCTAACAATTTATGCAGTGGATTTCCTTTTCTTTTTATTGAACTATTCATATACCATAATCTGTGTGTGGTGCAATGGTAATATCTGGGCTGACAAGGATGTGGAATTACTGTAATCATGCTTGTCAATGTACAAATTTTGTATTTTTTGATGAATAGCAACATGGAAAGGACATTTTAGGCCTAGAAATTCACTAAGGTAACTTTTGACATTTTTGTTACATAACCTTGTCTGCAAAGTTTGGTCAAGATTATCTGCAATTTTTCTGCATGATCTTGTACTTCAGAAGTGTAGCTTTGCTAAATATATTTCCTTTTCTTTTCATTAATCAGTTTCTGTTCAAAGAGTGTACTCAGAAGAGGTTTCCTTTTTTTCGCTGTTTTTTACTGCTTAGTATTTCTTTAATGTCCAGTCAAATATATGATACTGTTCAACTTTTTGTTCCTTAGGTGGAGATGATACTTCAGGCCTTGGAATATGAAAATGGTACAGATTTATTACATTGATCATGATGTTTTTAAGGGCATTCATAATTTGTAGATACATAATTCATTCTTTTATTCATTAATCAATAAAGTGACAAGTTACTGATAAAAATATGCTATTATCCTTTTTTTTGATAAATAAATTCATTTCCATTAAAATAATGATTGGATACAAGAAAATCCCTTTAAAGGCGTGAGGTGCTGCCTCTCCTAACAGCAAATACAAGAATTATAACAGAATTACATGAGTGTTGATGTTAAAACAAGAGTTAGAGTTGTGCCCAGAACAATGTTTCCCTATTTACCCGTTGTTTGGCCAAGGCATGTGCAATTGCATTAGCTGATCTCCCAACCCACTGTACTGTTATAGACATATTTCTTGTCAGCCATTTGAATTTCTTTAACTCATTTTTGTAGTCCCATGTGACGTCCTCCGGATTATTTAACCAGTCCACCACTTCTTTTGCAAGAAGTATTCCTTGTATTGCAGCAAACAGTTCTGCCCGGATAGAGTTCCCAACACCTAAGGGGCCAGAGTAGAGTAAGATAACCTTTCCAGCCTCATTCCTCAGTACACCTCCCATCCCAGAGGGACCCGGGTTACCTTGGCTACTCCCATCAAATTTCAGCTTCAAAGAACCAAGAGGAGGGGGGACCTAGCTAGTCAAAACCCTTACCTTGTAGGAGGAGCAGCTTGCTACCAATTTCCAATCCTTCCAACAATCAATAAAGGAGAAATTGTTAAATAATTCTGAAGTCTTTAACCAATGTATTGACCTAGACATAATGCAGTCCTTCAAGGCTTGATTGCTTCTCCCTTTTTCTTGGAAGATCTTGGCATTCCTTTCTTCCCATACTATCCATAAAAAAGCTGCTCGCCTGTATCTCCACATTTTTCTTCCTCTTTATGGGGCCAAGAGAAAAAAGAAGGGTTAAAGATTGTGCTTACTTCTATTGTCATATCCCAACTATATCCAAACAAAGATAGAAGCCAAGTCTAGAGCTCTGCAGATACACTACAAGATAAAAATAGATGATTACAATCCTCACCATGAGATCTGCAAAGAATGCACCAGTTTGGTGAAATACGAAGGCCGAGTCTTCTCTTTTGTAGGTTATCCATTGTGTTAACTTTACCATGCCACACTTCCCAACACAAAGTCATAACCTTGGGGGGAACCGTTCTACACCAGACTTCTTTGGAAGGGAAGCTTTGTTGAGAAGAGGTTTAGTAGAGGAACTTGAAAAAGGAGCCACAAGAAAAAGATCCATTGGGGTGAATGGTCCAAATTCTTTTATCAAGTTTCGAGGGATCCAACCAAACCTTACCATGGAACAGAAGAGTAGACAAGCACTCAATTTCCTCATCCCTTAACCCTCTACGGAAACCAAAATCCCAAGACAACACTGGCAAATTTAAGATTTATGGAAGGAATTTTGAGATCACCTCTTTTTTTTATACAAAGAAACATAGTACAAAGAAGGATAAAGGTCTTTTAGAGGGAGATCTCCCACTCAAATGTCCTCCCAAAACCGAATAGAGTTACCAGAACAAGCATCATACCTGACACAACTGAGAAACTACGGAAGAACTTTGTGAATTGCTTTCCATGGTGTGGCTAGGTTAGCCCTCCTTGATGTACCAGCATCCCAACCATTCTCTGAAACTCCATGAATACTCTTCACTACTTTGTGCCAGAGTCTATCTCGCTCCAAAGGCTACCTCCACAACCACTTCCTAGCAAAGCTGAATTCTTTTTAAGCACATTCTCAAGCCCTAATCCTCCTTCCTCTTTGCTTCTACCCACAATCCCCCCAATTAATTAAATGATCTTTTTTACCTTCTCTCGATTTCCAAAGAAAATCTCTCATCAATTTTTCCAATTTCTTTGCTTCCCCAAACGGAATCCAGGTAATAGGTAGGTAGATTCATGAGTGTAGCTTTTATCAAAGTGATTCTCCCACCCAAAGAGATATAATTTTTCTTCCATACTACTAATTTCTTTTCAAACTTCTCCAAGACTGGGGTCTAGAAACTACTCTCCCTAGGGTTTGCTCCTAATGGAAGCCCTAAGTAAGACAAAATCTCTAATCACTCTAGCTATGCAGCTCTTTCCTAGATTGATTTTTACATTGGAAACTCCTTCAAAATCTCTAATCACTTCTTTTAGGTTTTCCACCTTTTCATCGAAGCCTCCCTCACAAAAGATCATCAAGTCATTTGCAAACTGAAGGTGAGTTACTGGAATTCTGTTTATGCCTACTCTCCATCCCCTTATCTCATCTTTCCTATCAGCTCTAGTGATCATTCGACTTAACACATCAGCTACCAGGGTAAAGAGAAAAGGTGGGAGTGGGCCCCCTTGTCTAATACCCCTACTAGCTGGAAAAAAATCTCTCACCACCCCGTTTACTAGGATAGAATAATGACAAGAGCAGACACAACCAGATAACCAACTGCACCATCTTTAACCAAACCCACACTTCCTCAAAACCTCTAGTAGGAACTGCCAGTCCACTAAGTCGTAGGCTTTTTCAAGATTAAACTTACAAACAAATCCTCTCTGCTTGGACTTCTTCATCTCTTCCACACTTTCATTGGCAATCAGGATCTGATCAATTATTTGACGCCCTTGGATAAAAGCCCCTTGAGCCTGACTAATAATGGAAGGAAGGACTTCTTTAATCCTCAAAGACAGGACCTTGGTCAGGATTTTATAGATACTAGTCACCAAACTAATTGGCCTAAAATCTTTAGGATGGATAGCACCAGCTTTCTTTGGAACAAGGGCTAAGAATGCAGCATTAATGCCTCAGCTAACTACATGCTTCTCTGCAAATTCGTTAAAAACCTCACAAAGATCAACTTTTATCACCTCCCAATAATCTTGGTAAAAAGCCATTGTAAAACCATCTGGGTTTGGTGCTTTGGATCTATGCATCAGAAACACCGCCTTCCTAATCTCTTCTTCCTCAAAACTTCTTTCCAACCATCTAACCTAATCTTCCTCCAACCTTTGCCAATCTATCCCTTGTAACTCCATCCTCTCTTCCAAGGGTCTTCTGTAAATCGATTTGAAATGATCCACAAACTTTTTGGCAGTACCATCTTGATTAGTGAACGCCTCCCCCCCTACCTCTAACTTAGACACAAAGTTCTTTCTCCTCTTCCCATTTGCTACATCATGAAAAAACTTAGTGTTTCCATCACCTTCCTTAATCCATCTATGCCTCGACTTCTGCCTCCAGCTTATTTCTTCCCTCAGTAGGACCTCTTCTAGGTCCTTCTTCAACTGACCCCTCAGAACTCTCTCCCCCTCCTCCATTCTAGATTGGGCCTCTCTTTTATCCAACTCTTCGATCCTGGAGATTAGATTCACTTTTTGCTCCTCAAGTCTTCCAAAGTGTTCCTTGTTCCAATCCTTTATTTTGGCTCTCAACCTCTATAGTTTCTTGTGAAATCTTACTCCTTTCCAACTTACACCCCTCAATTCCTCATTCCACCAAAGCTTTACTTTATTTACAAAATCCGGGTGGGTTAGCCACATATTTTCAAACCTCAAAGGTCTAGATCCACTGATAAAGTCTTCCACACCTATTCTTATAGGACAATGATCCAAGGTTACCCTAGGCAAGGCTCTAGACACCAAGTTTCCCCAATAGTTCTCCCAATCAACATTAAAGATAAATCTATCCAATTTCGACCACAAGGGAATTTCCTATAAATTAGACCATGTAAATCGAGCTTGCATTAACGGGATCTCCTTTAACTCACAATTAGCAATAAAGCTATTAAACTTTCTCATGCTAGTTGTGATGGTCTTTTGGGAATTATTAGTTTCTTCAGAAAATCTTATCACATTGAAGTCCCTTCCCAGGCACCAAGGGCCTTCCCACAAATCCTGAATTGCATACAATCTGTTATGTGCCTTACCTATACTGGCCAAATCAACTAGAATGGGTCCAATCTCATGAACTGTCATGGGTGTCCTGAGTGTAGCTTGAAAGCAAAAGGTTTTAGGACCATTGTTCTTAGGCTTGGGCCTTATTTTTATCCCTTTTATTCTACCTATCAATGGCATTTATAGGTAACAGTGTTATGATATTTTAACATTGAGGTAAGAGGAACTTGTGCATTTATCCATGTGTTTGTAGGGAGGGATTAGCTACTCTTGACATTAAAGAATATGAAAGTAGCATAATACTTATAGCTACAAGAATTTTGAAAACTGATGTCATTTTTTGCTTCTGCAGAGCAAGGGGCAGATTTGGATGAGTTTTTCCAGTCAACTGCTGGTAAATACCCTTCCTGCAACTTGAGCATCTTTATTTGTATAATGAGTTGGCCTGTTATATATTTCTGTTCTTGTAGAGATTCACAATAATAACAGTGAGTAATGTAATGAAAAATTTTGGAAAAAAAATTTTCATAATAATTATGGGCCTTTGGCATTAGTAATGCTAATTCATTGAACATTTATTGAAGGTTACTTGCTTCCATATGTCATGGAAGCAAGTAACTGTAAAAACAAGGACTTTGATAGAAAATGATGATGTTGCAATTTGTTAATGATAGTGATGTTGCAATTATGGGCCTCAGGCTTGACCTTCCACTTCAACAAATAGTTGGATTACCTTCTTTGGTTGAGCCAACCTATAACTGTATGAGCAGCAAGACGACAACCTCAGTCTCAAAAATGTTGGGCAGGTGATGAGGCCCATCCGCATTGTTCAATCCCGGGTCATCACTTGTCCCTGAATGGAACGCTCAGGCAACTTGTTGATGACCTAAACTGGCCCAACCAACTGACCCGATCAATTGCTTTCACCCAGGCACCTCCAACATGCTTAGATCGTGGTAAGGACATCACCGGGAAGCTTGGGCAGACCCGACAACTGTCTCACAGTAGGATTAGAACTCCTTGACAAGCACAATGTCTTCTCTATAAATAGATAAGACACCCTAGGAAAAAGGTGGGAACAATACAAATACTTAACCTGGGCCTCATCCTTCGCTTTCCTCATTGATTTGGCCTCCTCAGCTTGGCCCAACACCTCTTTATCCATTTACTGGCTTAAGCATAGAAGAGTTCTCCCTCAGGTACACACCTTAGGGCCATCTGTCTTTCTCTGCTTTTAGAGCAACTTGGTTCATCCACCCAGCCTCTTCGGTTCATCTGGTTTCCAGTTTCCTCCCTTCTCTCATCTATTGTCCAATTTCGAACTGCAACAACTATTATACATACATACATACATACATACATACATAAATGTAATTTAAAGTCTGAGAGCTTGCGTGTGGACCCTGAATTGAGTGGATACAACAATAGCTAGAGTGTCATGTATACCTGTATTTAACATTGAAATGAGGTAGACAATTTTAAGGTCAAAAACTGAGTTGGATTATGGTGCATATAGTGATTTCATCTACTTTCTCCAATTTTCCGGACACTTCAAAAGGAGCCCACCCATATCTGAAACTTACAAGTAGAAAATTGCCTCAATGAAGTTGCATCCTTGCTGCACATAGGTGACATGGTGTTATTTTTCCTTTTATTAATCTCTTTTTTTCTTTTTTCTTCTGTTTGTTTTTTCCTTTTTCCTTTTAACAAATTGTAGAAAGGTTACTGGAACCTATGACAAAGAACTTTCCTTTTTGTCAGAGTTATTGAACACTGAAAAACTATCTGTACAGTAGATCACTTGTTTGTAACAATGGTGAAGGATGTGTCCTACTCATCAAAGCTTCAAATTGAAGAGAGTAAACACTGGAGAGCATTGAGATGTAATTTTTACAATGGAAATTTTCTATTGGTATATTTTTTATAATCTGATTTGCTACTTTTATGCATACTTGCATTACTCAGCGAGCTTTGGTACCTAAATTCCGATGCCCCTATTAAGCTCAACTCCTTGTTCCATTTCCTTTGCTTCCACAGCCTGAGACAGTGGCATTAGAGCTCAGCAGGATTTTACTTTCATTCTTTTCTGTTTCTCTGTTTTCTTGTACATAGCTTCCCCCATTTTGGGTGTTTCCATGTATATCCTTCCTCACAAATTTTGTTTAGTAAATTCCTCTTGGAAGCTCTTGTCTAACAACAATTGATTGTGGCCTAACAAAAATCTTGAGTTGTTGAACCAAATGGATTTTTTTTTTTTTTTTTCTTTTTGATATAAGGTCATGTATTAAATATGGTATTAACCTGAGGTCTCCCTAGCAAGAAGATTACATCAAATAAGAAAGGAAAGTATGCACTCTTCACAGCAGAAAGTGCATTCAAGAAGAGTCACTCATTCAGCCCTTGAGTATCTCAAACAGACTATGTTGACATAAAGTTTTTTACTCGTGTATTTCATCATAAGAACTGATAACAATGTCATATGACCTTATTACATTTTCCGTTAGTATAGAAATAGGGAAGATTTAAATGGGAAATGTTAGATTATATTTTGCAGAAGCTGAAACTACAAATATGGTGCACAACGTTAGCATGTTCTATATCTCTTACCATGAATCTTTTGATGATTTGCAGGTAAATTCCAGACTGATTTAGGGAAAGCTTGGGCCTCAGAGATAGCATCAAGGAGAAGAAAAGAACACTAGCTTCTAGTGTGAGAAATCCAGATCTTGGTTCTCTGTTTGCATTATTCATTTGCCTTGGCCAATGCCTTGTCATGTTTTTTAATGTTAAGATGTTACCATGCATTAATGATCCTTGTTGAGGTGACAATTCTGTTCGTCCAGCTATTTTGGGAAGTTGAGTTGCTTAACAACCAGGTGTTTTTAGAATCCACTTAGGGCCATGGACCTGACTGAAACTAA